ATTTCAAAAAAAAAAAAAAAAAAAAAAAAAGGAAAAAACAGACAACTTCCAGAGATAACAGATAAACTCTAAGGGGATGTAAAAATCCATTCCTAAACAATATGATTTATAACACAAACAGAAATGCACGTGGGAAAGTGTTATGTTTAGCTGTATTGTCCAAGCGTTTAAAGTCTATTCTGACATTGCTCCCTGTGATTAAAAAAAGATGTTCTGTAACATTGCTTAGTTCTTCTTGAAGACATCTTATTTCTTATTTACAACAAAAAAAAGACAGCAGGCTGTGATATGCAATTTATCACATGGCTTTAGAATTCCAGGCATGGACAGTTTCAACTGTCTAAACTTGATCAGTCCAACTTCCCTAAGGCAATTTGAAAAACTGCTCGGGAACACTGTGCCATGATGCTTCTGTTGCTCACTACAGCCACAGAAGGGTTTCTCTGTGTTTCTCTTCCAGACTTGGGAAGCAAAAACTCCCAGGCTTCCACAATGAACACCGAGTTACTCATGTCGGACTAGCGGAAGATTTAAACTCTGTGCTATGGAAAAATTAAGCAGGTACTACAAACTTGTGCTTATTCCTCTTTTGATAGTGAAAAAGAAAGTGTCCCCAAGTAATTTGTACACACTTGACGCCCAAGTAATTTTATACACTTTGATACACAGTGGTGATGTGACATGAAATATAGCCCAAGACACTTCAAAGCCTTCTACTGGGAGATGCTTAATGACTTACATGCAAATACTGCAAGGGAAAAGCACATTACACAGCGGAAAAAATAGAGGTCAGTGTTCTCACTTCCTGACATGTCAGAGATGGTGCAGCACAAGGATACAGCTAAGTTCATGGCCCAGCTAGCGACACCAAAACAGGTTGTATTTCTTCTCTGCCCCTCTGGTACCATGGAGCTGAGCTGGTGCTTTTCTGATCCCAGGATGAGTTAGTTCAGGGAGTGAAAAACTGGCAGGGTGCCCCTAAGTACCAGGGTAGCAGCAAGACTACATCCTTAGTGGTGACCATGCCAGAAGTACTGGTGACAAAGAGCTCTTGCAAGTACAGACACTTGCCATTTCTGCAGTGTCTGTACTACCAGCATTTGCTGCTAATGTTCATTTTTTTCAAGTGTAATGGAAGAATCAAAGAAGAAAATAATATAAAACAGAGGGAGTGTGGAGGAAAGGTATCAGACAAAAAAAAAAAAAGGTACATAGCCTCATATCTTCATTCATTTAAACTTGCATTCCTGAGTGCAGTCCTGCCCAAGAGACTCCGCTTCCATGTTAGCAACGTCTGAGCTAAGAGAGGCATCCTGAAACAACTGGCGTGGAGAGCAGCCACGTACACGGCATTTCCAACACACCCGCGAGGGCCGTAACTTTCAGCAGAGGACACACGCTTGCCTGCGAGCGGGACAGGTAAAGCAACCTCTTCCTTCTCTGATGGTCAGAAAAAGAACTTGTGATCTTAAGCTGAAAGATCTTTAGTCCAACTCAACTAAAGCAAGGATGACATTTGTAAGGGTGTTCTCAGAGCCTAAAAGAGATTGCACTTCTGGGCACATTTGTGAACTCTAAGGCATACCGTACATATCTGTCATACTTGAAAAAGATAAGAGGTATAGTTGTTCCCAGATAGGGAAAAAAATCTCAAAGACAATGAACAAAGTAAGAATATAAGCAGGTAAGTAAATATTGAAGAGGTACTGCCCTGCTTATCATAAATCCATTTCCTCGGTGTTATTCTCTGTCCTCGCATTTATGCCAGACCAAACGAAAGTTAACAGAATAGAATCTACTTGACTTCACAGTCTACCTGTTGTCTGTAAAATACACCTTGCTCTGTTAGCTTAAGCCTGTGTTTGTGTTAGTGTTTTGGTCCAGAGCAGCGGTGCAATTTAGAAGCAAATCCTTCCTCCTGGTCCTCCCTTCTCACTTCCCTTGCAGTGGTTTTGCTCACAGACTGATATTTGTGCACATGATTTGAACTCCTTCCAAAGAAAATTCAACTTGAAATGGTGCTTCAGATGCACAGAACATGTTTCCACCCTAAGGGGGACATATGGATCCAAACAACGGCTCTGAACAACATGGATATCCAAACCCAAGAGGCTCCACTAAATCTAGTCCAAAATAATATCGCTGTGTAGCAAAATGTGTTGATGTAGGGGCCCCAGGAGCGACTGTTTAAATTTACTACTATTGAGCCAACTTACTAATGTAGGCATTCCCTAATTCAGTGCCACAAGCTAGAACAAGAGCAAGTTCTTCATGCTTACCTGTGCCACATGTTAACGGTTGTCCTGAATTAAATCAGAAGCAATGACATTTATGAATGAGATCTAATTAAAATCATTCATAAACACAGCTGACTGCTTATTTCCTCAACTAAAATCTTGTACAAGTTGAAGACAAACTTTTCAAATACTGAAGATAAATGCATTTTACATTAAAAAAAATGCAACTGATAACAGCAGCAGACACCATCCAAAATACGTATATATATTTTTGCCCAGTTTTGCCTAGCGTAAGAGGAGAAAAACGTTTGGAGAAAACGGATAATCATCAAATTACTTTTTGACTACGTCTGCAAAATATCTCCTGAGCTCTGCAGAACGTACGTTAATATCTTTTAATGCAAACACCTAATCAGAGAGGTCAATACTTCCAATAGTGGATGACTTAACACCAGGCGGGAGCACTGCTTGCTACAGGTAGCACCAGCAGGTAAGTTTGGAAGTTGCTTAGCAAACCTGCGTGCAGAATACTAAGACACCAGTGTTGCTGGTTTGAGCTCAACTCAACACCATTAAAGGAAATAAAATAAAATAAAAAATACCATAATACAGGAAGAGTCTTAGAGCTCATCCTCCCGGCGGCCTGCACTAAGACCCCACTCCCTCCCTTTGCATCAGCCTGGGGACGCAGGCAGCCCCGCTGCCCCGGCCTCGCGAGGAGGCCGCCCGTGCAGAGCACCAAAAAGCTGAACTCCGGCGCTGCTGCCCGCGCTCCTCCGGAGCGGCAGCGCAGGGAAGAACTGCACATCTCCATCCTCCTCCCGAAAGTTAAACCGCCCCGTCAAAACTACCCCGTAACACAAATCAAGATATTAATATACTGCATCTTGACCTGACATAGCAACATGACAAACTGGAACATTTATTACTGGGAAATTTCGAAAAGATAATAAACTTCAAAGTCTCTGCTCAGGACGGTTGGAAGCATTTGGCAAACTCAAAAACTGAAAGAGTTTTAGGTTTTGGAGAACATTTCATGCAGAAAACAAGCAGATCAACTGCCTAGTTCAAGATATGAATTCAATTCTGGAAGCACAAGGAGGAATGGTTTCAAAAAAACCCCCACATACGCCTGGGATACATGGGATTAACAGAACAGCACGTTATGTTATTGCTAGAGACTGTAGTAACACTAAATAAAGATGACAGCCTGGAGGATTTTGA